ATTCCCTTGCAAATTGTTTTGCTGTAATCCACACACTACCTGTGGTAGCATTTTCCCTACTTCTTTTACTGCCATTTCAGCTTGTCTGCACATTAGGCCTCACATGGTAATAGAAACAGTCTCTTCTTTTGAAATATATTCCAGCATGATTCTCATGGGACAGCTCTCAAAACTCGCCATGGTTGTTTTCCTTTAGGAATTTATTGAATAAGACCTACTTCCAGCAAAGCCTTTCTGCTGGAGAGAATTTACCTTCTCAGGGGAAACTAGTCACAGGCTGGAAGTGACCAGTTTGGTACTGGATTACCTTTGCATCTCCTTCTTCTCTATGGCTTGGAACATTGAGAGGATGGCAACAGGATGGAAGCATGGAAAAACATGGGCAAATAGGTGGCAAATTAAAATGTGAGACTGCTTCCCTCCAATGAAAAAGACAGAGATTTTGGCTGATTAAACTTTGGAGCATGATAACACTGTTCAAGTACAGGATAGAGTAAGTTGAGTTCTGCCTTCTGAGCATACAAATGCGAAGAAAAACAAATATTACATAGAAATGGAAACATTTATTGAAATGGAAACAGTGAAGTCCTTACACAGAACACATGTTTGTTCCTGCTTGTAAGTGGAGGTTACCCACACATTCAGGAGGCTATGTTTCTGCAAAGGTAGCTGACCTGTCAGCTACCTGAAAGTTGTGTATCAAATCTAAGGACAGTAAAAGCCAAATTCACCTTCACTAAGAAATATTCCAGTTTACAGGCACTATGTCACAAGTTACCTACTGTGTGGTTCTGAACTTTATAGTATATAAGCCCTTTGCAAACTTCATATATCTTTACAAAAGTCATGTGAAGATTAAACTGCCATCACTCCTGTTACATATTCTTTCTGTTAGAAGCACTGAGATACATCTCAGTTAAGCATCTTTTTTCCCCAGTAACAGCCTAGTCAGGCAGAACCAGAACAGAAAAGAACTAGAGAAAACAAATTTGCAGTATATTTGCCACAACACAGCTGTACTAACCCTTCTGTACCAGTGAAAGAAGTTACTAAGTTCAGGAAAACAGATTTCCCCAATGTAGTATCATGGAATTAGATCCATTATTTGTATATTTCACTTATTCCACTGTGATGTCTCAGTATTTCTGAGTTCAACCACACTTTATTCCTTAGATCTGAAAAATGAGCCCTTGCAAGGCTCTGGACACAGCATTCAAACATTACTAGTCCCACTCGAAATCTCAAGTCGTATTTCTTATTTACTTAGGCATGCCATCAGCCTCTTCCAGTGTTCCTTTGTTTGTCAAATACTCTTAACCCCCTCTGAATTGCACTATTGCTTCCCCAAAATGTGGTGGCTTAGGACCTGCATAGGTATACAGACTCATTGCTTTCTGTCAGCATCATCTAACTTGATTTTATATTGTTTGATACTTAGAGAAGAAATAAATGAAAGCAACTTGAAAAAAAAAAAAATCTTTTCCAAAAGCACTGGGTCTATATCCTGAAAGTTCTATTCCAAAATACACTGTTGTTTAACAAAAGCTTGTTTCCTATTTGAATATTGCTTATGAAATAAGAAAACAGACATTAGCAGACAAAGCTATCTAAGTTACTTTGTTTACCTCTCTTCAGAGCTATGGTATTAAAACAGAAAGTGTAAGAAATTTACGGGGGCAAGGATTAGCTTAGCAAATTGCTACCAGGAGATGGCACCATTAACAAAATAATTTGAGTGCCACGTATAAGATCCTCTCGACCACCTCTACGTCTGAGTGCTCTGGCAACTCCAGGTGTTATTTGGGTGTGATCCTGTGTATCATTTAGCCAGGAAATCCTCACATGCCAGTCACCCCAGGCATGGTGAGGGGGTCCTGCCCACTGCATCACTGCTGACTTTTTGCTCCTGCTGGCAGATCAGGACTTAGCAAACACAGGAAGAGGCTAGGAGATACTGGGCAACATTTTCCTCTCTGATAAGTATATACTGATTTGGAAATAGGATTGAGGGGATATAGGGGTATAATACATATCCATATGTAATAGGTTGGGGGCTTTATTGATGTATTTTTAAATTTTATTTTATTCTGTCATATATAGGCTGCCATTAACTTGTATGAAGACCTGAATGCAGTGTCAGAGAAGGGCCGATGTGAAGTGGACTAGCTCAAATCACAGCTGCAAGAGCCAAATGCAAATACTTAAACACTCCTTCCCAGAGGATGAAGGTATGACATTATTTGTCATCCTTATAATGTCTCTAAAGAATAGGATTAAATGATTTTATATTTACATGCCTGCAGGGAATCCAACTTAAGATAACAAGAATATAAAGGCTCTGAGACTTTACCCTACCATGCTCTGAGAGCATCCCTGTGGTCGAACTGGTTCTGTGAAAGGTGAAGGAAAGATTTTGGTTGATGACAACAATGTCAGAATTTCACCTGTTAACTGCAGATGAACTGGAGCTTTGCACTCACACAGCTTGCAGGATCAAATCCCCAGTGTGACAGGAAGCAAAATATTTGCCATGTGTTTCATTTCAGTTTTAAGCACTTCAGGTTTTGAATCCTCTTGGTTAAGTAATTGATGTTTGAATGCCCTGTCTCCTGCTTGGTATTTTAAAATAAACCTTGCTACAGCACAGATTATGAATCAAAGCAGCTGCTGAAGCTGAAAGTGTACTTAAGCGGCAAGATGGCTCTTTGTGAATCATAGTAACTAGTCTTACATATATTACTTCAGCATCCAGGGAGCTAAATTTCATGTACTTTGGTTTAAAAATTCATTATATAGATCTGGTGTTTACAGATTTATTTTTTTTTGTCTCCCCCATCGCTTCCTGCCAAAAAAAAAAAATGAACTAAAAAAAATCCCTTGTTATCAATATCTGTTGTCAAACTTGGATTTCTCATATGCCACAGCATATGAGATTATGAATAAATCTTTTGTCTTCTGCAAATACAACAAGAAGCCATCACGAATCAATTTTTACAAGCATTCCAGTAAGCTGTTTGCAAGACAGTTGAACTCTGTCATAGAAGCCCCTCCAGGCGCGGTTAAAACACCTACGTTATTGCTTGTTCATTGGTTGCATGGTGAACTTTTAGAGGGCTGAATAAAGAAAAGAAAACATTTGACTTTCTAATGGGGTTAGGTCAGGAGCTGTGTGTATGTTTCACTGTTGAGAAACCAGGCCATGAAAACATAGAGGGGGGCAATCAATTTCTCTGCATTAAAAATTGTGATGAAAATGCTGTTGTAAGACTGAATACCATTTTCTTAAAGTGTGCAAGCGCCCTTGTAAAATCTAGGTACAAAAACTTCAGTTCTCTACTAAAACAGAAAAGGAGGTGATTCTCCTCCTCTCCTCAGCCCTGGTGATGAGGCCATGTCTGGAGTACTGTGCCCAGTTCAGGGCTCCCCTGATCAAGAAGGACATGGAGCTCCCGGAGAGGGTCCAGCAGAGGTTACAAAAAGCTATCAAGGGACTAGAGCATCCTTGTTATGAAGAAAGGCTCAGGGGGCTGGGCCTGTTCAGCCTGAGGAGAATGCTGAGATCTTATCAATGCACAGGAATATCTTAAGAGCAGGTGTCAGAAGAACAGGGGCAGACCCTTTTCAGTGGTGCCCAGCAACAGAACAAGGCACAATAGGCACAGGAAGTTCTGTCTGAACATGAAGAAAAACTTCTTTACATTGAAGGTGACAGAACACTGGGACAGATTGTCCAGAGGTGTTGTGGAGCCTCCTGCTCTGGACACATTCAAAATTTGCCTGGAGGTGGTCCTGTGCAACCTGTTCTGTGTGAATCTGCTCTAGCAGGAGGATTGGACTAGATGACCTCTAGAGCTTCCTTTCAGTCCCAACCATGCTATGATTCTGTGAAATCAGAAATTATAGAAGCCATCGCTCAAGACACAAAAAACCAATCAGGAAGTATAATACAAGGAGCATAATAATTGACAATAAATACAAGGCACTGAAAACAAATAAATGTAGAGACCATCTAACATTAAGAATTGTGCATAGTCTTTGTAATCACCCAGAACTCAGAATGCATTTTTTGTCCTAGCCAAAAGTAGCACACAGAATGGTCCCGAGCTGCTTGGAGTCATTAATAAATGTTATAGTATTAATCATTCTTTCTACTACACAGTGATAAGCTACAACAGCTCTTGTCTTTCCTAGCTTATAATCTTTTGAAGTTTACTGAACCTTGCTCTCTGAGCTTCAGCAAACCTCACTACACGTTCTGAAAAGCTCTAATAAGCTGCATCCTCTAGAAAGCTGTATTTAGTGTAAAATACACCTTTCTGCACACGTTCATGGCAAAAGACAATGGAGTTGGAGTTCTCTGTACATGCACTGGGTTTATCTGCATTTCTGCTTGCAGTTAAACAAATAGGGAATAATGCTCAAAGACATTTGAGAAAATAAGATGGTTTTTTTTCCCCTGCCTATCACTTTCACCAGAATTATTCTTTGATTATTAGCTCAATTTAAATGAATAAGGGACGGTACAAGTTACAGAGTCAAAAGCAGGGCCAGATATAGTTCTTCATTTCTAGTGGCCATTCATCTGAATGTCATGAGGGAATCCAGCCACTGAATGCCTGAATGTTTGGAGTCTCTGGAACTGATGGGAAGCCTGAGCACTGCCCTTTAACCTTCTGGCCTCTTGGCTTACTTTTAGATTCCCCCAGAAAAGCTGAACCTTGCTGTTCAACTTCCTATCCCAGCAGTAAATTCAAACTCCATTGTTACCTAAAGTCCTAGAATCTCTCTGAAAAGTGAGCTCTCTGCTTAACAATTTAACCCTTCAAGTGCTGAATCAATGATGAGATCAACATCCACTGGAACAAAAGTTTTGTCCTCCTTTTTTAAAATCAGATTGGTTTTTACTTGATACAATGGAGGAGATTATAAAGTTCTGGGAAAAGAACAAATATCCTAAATGTAATGTCATTTTTTTTATTTACATGTTCCTATTTATGAAAATCTTGGAAATTCATCTGTCTTCAGGAAGATGGGGAAAGGCTCTATGTCTTCCCTCACAGAATGCTTCATCAGCTCCAAGCTTCTCATGACACCTGCTTCAATTTGTGAGAAAACTGCTATCAAGTAAGCATTCCACAAGTAAAGCACCTAGAGCTTATAGTTGTAGGTCTTGCGTCTGCAGTCCCTAGAATAAAAGTAGAAGAGTGAAAGTAGGGAAACACCTCTTAGACTTGAAAACAAGGTGGATTTTGCAATCTGATGTGATTATGCTTACATTCTGGAAACTATGCATTGATAGATTCACACATTATGTGTTTATTTTTCCAAGGAGAATATGGAATTAATAAAACACTCCATCAAAGCAGCAAATAATTATAACTAGACAAGTCAAACTGAATATTGTGTTGCATACTAAAAAAGATGGAAGGATTGTGAAACAACTAGGGCAACCTTGCTATGAAAAGACTTCACTGTGTTAGCCTGAGTTAAGATGGAGCAGAGAAGCAGTAGTGTGCAGAAAGTGCAAAAGCAAGGAGGTAGATTCTCAATGAGAAATCCAGTAAGCAACAGGACAAAAGAAAAAGGACCAGGATTTTAGAGACAATTGGGTTTTTTCTTACCCCAGAAAAAGTGATACATATAGCCACTCTAATTTCACCATGCTAGATGTAGAATCTTTTCCTAGTTATCTTCCCTATCAAATGCAAAACATTTTGTTTCAATATTGTAGAAAGAACTGCAAGCCCTCCATCCTCATTAGGAGGCAGGAAGTTGTTTGGTACAGTACCTATGGAACAACTCTTCTCAATGAACTTCAGGCATTAACTTTTGTCTGATTCATTTTTCTGTCCTCATATTTCTGTTTTAGAGTTAATTAGAGGAGAGAAAGAAAAAGAGAAATATTCCACATGCTGGAATAGAGCTGCACTTCTGCTGACCCTGATCTTCAGGTCCAACAAAGAAATCAGCTGTGCTCTCAATCATCCCCCAAGCTGAAAGCACTTACATCCAAGACCTTCAGTCTAAAAAAACAGCTAACCAACAAACAGACAAACAAACAAAACATTTACCGGTGGACTATTTTTCAATTAGTTCTCGGTCACTGTAGTTCTGGCCAGAACCTGATTTGGAGACCAATCTAACAGTCACGAAAGGCCCACCAACAGTAGTGTAAGTTGTACCTGAAAGCCATTGAGGCACACTTTGATTCCAGGCTTTACACAGACACACTTTGAGGCACATTTCCTTGTATTCCAGACATTTACCAACAAGCCTACTCAGCTCAGCTTCTCTCTAATTTTAGTGAATTGTCACTAGTGCTGCTCCTTGCTTGTATTTTGATGTAAATTTTAATCTGCAAAACTTTAAGTCCATCTGCCCATACAAGGTTACAAAACCCCATGACTTTAAAGAGAGCTGCCTAAACAGAACTGGGGTAATGTTGAAAGGGTTTCCTCTCTCCTTCCTGCCCAATTCACTGAGAGAAACTGAGGACTATTTTGAAAAGGAGATCACCAACATCTAGAAATCTGGAATTACAGGTTAAATCTCAGCAGGGTTCACTCAACTCATCATCCTTCCAAAGGAGTACCTAATGCAATTAAACATGGGGCATCAGGATGAAACCTTGAAATAGGAACACCTGCCAGCACTAAGTTAAAATATCTCCTAAGAGTTGAGCCATAGCCAAGTACTCTGCTGGTGGTCCTGGGAAAATTTTCTCTTTCAAATTTCACAGTCTGGGTAAAGGATCTTCTCCCTTGTAGGAGTCTGTATGAATGTAGCACTTGGAAACTGTAAACAAAAATAATCAAATATTCAACATCCAAACAGTTTTTTCTGCAGAATTTTGTTTTCCAGTGTTGAGTACCCTTCCAGAAAAAAAAGTCAAACCACAAACAAAAAAACAACCAAGACAAATAAACCAAAATTCTATGAGAGTTTAACAAACATATGTTTTTCAGACAGATTTAAAAAAAAAAATTATTTTCCAAGACCAAAAGTTGAGGCCTAAAACCCTGCAGGTTTTGACAAGCAATACTTTATGTTAGTTTAAGTTTAGTTAGATTTTCTGATTGCTTTAATCAAAGTAGGCAAGCCAGTTCATTGAAAGGGGCAAGATCATGAAAGACATATATTGTATATCTGTTAAATATCTTAAATATACACAAATTGAATATTAGGGAAAAAAACTATTCATTGAAAGTGTGGCCAAGCATTGTAATGCTTCCACCAGGGAAATGGTGGAGTTATTATCTGAGGAAGTGTCCAAAAGACATGTACATTTGTCACTAAAAGACTCGGTTTTGTGGTACACTCGGCAGTGTTAGTGGCTGGACTTGAGATCTTGGACACCTTTTCCACCTTTAAAGATTCTATGACATAATCTTTCATAGTTATTTGAAATGTGGATGACAAAACACATATTTCTAGACAGTGTTGTAGTGGGACAATAAAATGTCATTTTTCCCCGAAGTTTGCCAATAGGATAAAATTAGAGGTGAGAAAAATAAAAACCCTTGTTGATATCAGATCCAAATTATCAAAATCATTGACCTCTTCTAGATAGTTCTGATATACTAAGATCTGAATAGCTTCCAGAGAAGTGATGCATTCTTGTTTTCACAAGGTTCCACAGCTGTATTTTTTTTTTTTTTTGGTACTTTTCAAAGTACAAAGAAAAGCATGGAAAAGAAAAGCCAAACCACTGGGACAATCATTCTTCTAAAACTGGATTAAAATTGCTAGAGCAATCAAATAAATTGTAATTGAATCTGTGGTTACCAATAATTTTGCTATATTGTACTTTGAATTTAATTTCTGTTCTCTACCTAGAGATCTCTCTTTTCTTTATTTCTTACCTTTTGCCCATACCCAATATCTCTTGCTTCTTCAGGTTTTTATCCCCACAGTGTGAGGCCTAAAAGCTCCTTCTAAACCACAAAGGAACAATGTGTACATCACTTCCATGTAATTTAACGGACAAAATTAAAACAAATATTTAGAATTTAATCATTAAATTGTACCTAAGATATATCTAGGAGTATATAAGTGATGTAGGGTTCTGGGCAAGGAAGGAAAGGCAAGGTAAAGCAAGTAGAGGAAGGCAAGGCAAGGCAAGGCAAGGCAAGGAAGGCAAGGCAAGGCAAGGCAAGGCAAGGCAAGGCAAGGATATTTGTTCACAACTTTAAGGTCTGAATGTCTGCCTTTTCTTCCTAAATTTGTGTTATTATTTATTATTGATATTACATTAATATTATAATATAAACCTTTACTCCACCAGTTTAGGATCAAAATGCACAAATAATACGTTAGTCTCAGGGCAGCTGGTCAGCAGAAACAGATTTCTTTCCTGTAAGAGTTTGAAACATGTATAATAATAGGACTATTTTCAGTTCCCTCTGCACATTTTCTTTACATTTGAAATGTATGCAGTTATTCTGTGATGGAGGTTTATCATATTTCCGTTACTCCAGAGATTTTATAGAAACTGGAGAAATCTGTGCAATGCATAACAAACAACCGTCTTTCTCACTCTTTTATCAGCACAGTTTGTTTTTACCACTTTACCCTAGGAATTAAAAGTGAAGTAAACTAATAAAACTCATTACAGGCAGAATTTTGATAACTACAGTCATTAGCATATCCGAGTTTGTTCTGTGTGTTAGTGCCACCAGGGCTAGGCTGATGAGTAGCAAAGAGCACCTGTCAAAACAAAAGAGCTTCATGCCTCACAAGTTTAAGCCCCAGGTAAGAAACTCGGTCTTGTGGATAGGCTGAAAAGAAGATGTTGCAACCTGAAACGAAATCGACTTGTAAGAGAGAAAATGAGATCCCTCTGGGTGCCAATAGTCCTCTGTTTGCCATGATTAAATCCTCTTTGTTTCATTACATACATCAGTGGAGAAACAAACAATGAGATCAAGATAAAGAGCTTGCAACACATCTTTCTCTCTTTTTCCCTCTCCATCAAAATTGCCACCTTTTTCCTTGGACAGGCTTAAAAGGACTGCCTTGCTCAAATAAAATTGATGAGACCTCTGAGCAGGTGTACAAGACAGCTTTTGGCTTTAAAAATGCGAAGCACTTATGTCAATGACCTGATCAAATGATAAGCATGATGGCTTCCTTTGCTCTCTAATTAATTTTCTCTCTTGAAGAGAATACCTAGCATTGCCTGATGCCTAAGCTGAGTCTTTAAGTCTTAACACCAGCTGAAAGTCAATGAAATAATGCTTTTCTAGGAAAATAAACCATTGTGGAGTATATGCACCTCACCAGAATTACAAGGGTATTGTAATTCTCCAGCTTGGACCAAATGTTTATTTCAGCAATTGTCTTAAGTATTGTTAAAACAACATAGAGTTTCATTATTAATGCCACACAGAGTTTCTTTGTCTAATCATAACAAAGATGCTGGCAGCATAGTGGCTACATAAAGCTGGCAGGAACTGGAGATAGACATACATTTTAATTATCTCTTTGAATTAGTAACTTCATTCAGAGACATTTATTACATGTACTGCATTGTAAAGCAATTACAAATAACTGTGCAACTTCACAAATGCTGATTTCTCCCTGTAGAAGTCCAGTGAGGGAGTGACCAGATCAAGTAATGAGTATGCACCGAAATAATAAACAATTCCTTGCACTTTATTTTAATTGAAGTGGAAGGAGTTAACAGCAGTATTGTTCAATGGCAATATATGTCCTATAACACTGAAGTGCAAAGGTGAATGCTAAAAATGAGTGCTTCTTTAGCAGAGGTTGAAAGAATAGAGTTAACAAGCAATTTGTACTTAGGGATATTATCTTTTTGTTTCATAAGGTAGTTTGCAAAGCTTCCTCCTCCTTAACCTGTTTATATTCTACAAATGATATGGATGTACTACTCCTGTTTGTAAAAATATATACAGGACAGACATCACTGCCGAATTAGTGTAGAACTAATTGCAGTAACAGTTTGTGTTATTGAAGTTAAACTGATACTCAGCTTAGGTATCCTCGATGAGGTGAGATAAGGGTTCACTCAGGTGCAGATACACAATACAGCTGAAAAAAAGAGAAGCCAGGCTAGTCTGATAATTACGCTTTTTTTGTTGATGACTTCCTCTCAATGGAAGAATAGGATTCCACAAATGAAGTATGCCTTACTGTGTTTATTTACCCACACACACAGACACACACCCCCACAAGCACCTGGCTATAAACAGTTCTTGCTTTCGGACTACAGAGCCTTCTTGCTTTGGCCTCAGCCTATGGTTACTGTTTGCTGACTCTAAGGAGCTTAGGTTCATTAAACATTATTTGTAGAAACATCACCAACAACTGAAAGCATGCTGCAGAGTTAAAAGAAATATGCAAATGAAAGAATAAGAATGGAAAATGGGGTTAAAAAATCAACTGATGATAAGTAAGAAGAAAATTGTCAGTGGACTATATCTGAGCAAACTTTTGGTCTTTCATTACTTTAAATGTCCAAGTCTGAAACTGCATGTGTATACTTTATGACAAAATTTTTAATCAAGATTTTCTTGTGCCCTCAACACAGTATAACAATCTTAAACTTCTAAAACCCACCTAGAGTTAGGATTTTTAAACTAATATAACATAAAGAACAAGGTTGTGGTGATCCTCCCAGTGTTATTTTATATAATTTCTCTGATTCACTGGAACAGCTACTGCTGAAATAAGAGTTTCACTGTGAGCAAAAGTAGGGCACTCATGCTGAATCCAGTGGGATGTGGCACTTTCTTTTCCTTGGTAAGTTTTACAGTCTACCAAGGGACTAGAGATTCAATAGTTTGTGGCATCAAATATTTGGAATTTCAGCATCAGATTTCAGTTCTCATGGAACCCTGAGCTGACCCAATCTTAGACATTCAAGTTTTACCCCAGCAGTGACTTAGATAGCAGACAACCACTTATGACCAGGCCATCATCCAGCTGTATCACTACTGTGGTTTCTATAGTCAGTCATACTTGGAATTCACACCTAATCCCTTTGTAAAGGCATAGAATAAAAAAAATTTAGATTCTCTTTCCTCACAGCATACACTTACCCCCTAGTGCTGTCCTGCCATAGACACTCCCAAGATATTAGGCAAAAGGGATAAAATACTTCAGTGGCCATAAACTAGTTGTAACTTTTTCAGTTAGGGAAACTGATTTTAATATGGCAGCCAACACCAAACCACTCTGATGAGAATCTGATGGATTGTTTTGTTCCTATGGGATGATCCAACAAACTGGTTTCTTTTGCATGATCCTGAATGGTCAAGGAAACTACATTGTTCATTTTCCATTCCTTTTTTACTGTATCTACTGTAGGGATAATCCATTATAGAAGTGAGCACTTCTATTTCCCCATGAAGATGTTGGTATTAATATGTACCAGGAAAGACAAAGCTTATGTAAAATATGGCATGAGAAAGAGAAATACTGAAACATGTTTTTAAAAATGATAAGAGTATCAATCATTTTAAAGTAGAAAAGGACCTCAATAATTGCATTTGTAAGAAGAAAAAGTTGTGGGTTTCTTGCTTTGTTTTTTTGGGGTATTTTTTTTCCTTTGAGAAGAAAGATGCAGAAAAGGGCACTGTATTAGCTAAATATTGTACCTTGGAACATCAGTCATTTTCTACTCAATAATACTGAAAGGGTCTAATTTATAAGTTTTTCCATTTCTCTGTTATGCTGGTTTGTAAGTTCTGACATTGCTACTGGTATGTTAATGAGAAGCTAGTGTTCCATTAAGAGTAAACCATATGCTCTACCGCATACTGTGAAAGAGAAAGCATATAATGTGACTGTTGCCTTAGTAACACATTAATTCATTTTGTCAGTGTTGGCACAGATCATTTCATTTATAAGAAAACAAGTATAATAGTTTACCACATCTATAATATTTACAGTGTTTCTGTTACAAAACAGTGACAAAATGAGTTTAAAAAATAGAGTTGGGATAGTATTATTAAAATATGGAATTTGTGGAAAAATGTTCCCATACAAATTAAAAATAAGATTGGTGTAAATTTCTTTTCACATTATAGCACCAAACTGTTTGGTTTTTTGCATATTTGTATTCCACTAATAATATGCATAAAAATATAGTCCATGAAAAGCCACAAGTACATTAGCAGTTTTTAATGAATGCTAAACAAAATATTTCATACAACAGTTCTGTTAAGTTACAACCATTAAAACCTAATTGTATGTTAGTGTGTTACTCATAACAAAGCTAAACATTTATCTCTTTTATCTGGTCTTCCAGATGTTTCTTAGAATTTTAACACTGCTAAAATGCTGTAATTAAAGTATCCTGTTCCCTTAAGTGATCATATCTTACATTTTATTCATTTAAGACATAAGTACTTATGAATGTATATATATGTGTGTGTAGACATAAATGATACTTAATGTGAATTGAGGGACTGCAAATATTTGATAAGGAAAAGAAATGCAGAAGGAGGAAAGGTAACTTCTCCCATTATAGTCTGCACCTTCAGAATTGTCTCAGCCCTATTTCTTGTTCTTAGTTCATTGTACAACTGTAAATGCATGTTTTTAACAACAAATCTTTTACATCTGGAATGCACACTGAGAACCTTATACTAAAATAAACAGCGTTATATTTTAGATACCACTGCAATAAAAAAATCATTTTTCTAGTGCAACTACTCCCTGTTGCACATTCCAGAGAAGCAGTAAATAAGTCATCATCAATGGCTACAGCTCTTCAGTTATTTGGACTACTGCACATATCCTGTAAAGGTTCAGTATAATTCAATTTCTTGTCACAGTATAGCGGGGCAATTTACTTTCCCAAAAATAAAGAAGAAACAATTCTAAAACTGTGTTTGGACCATACCTAACAAATACGTAATGCTGTGAGTTTTTATTTTTTAAGAGGATTTAGTTAAACACAATTGTGGAACTTGCTAATGTATCTCTCAAATTATTTTCATCAAATCTTATAAGGTCTTCTGAACAATTTTGGAAAAGTTTAAAAGGAAAAACATATGCTAATATAATGCACAATAACTTGCCTCTAGAATACAATCATGGAAAAGAATCAGTCATAGAAAACAATGTAGGAATACTATATCTAATTTTTGTAGCTACTTAATATTTTATTTTTTTAAGAATAAAAAGAATTTTTTGTCTGAAATAAGACTTCTTTTAATTGAAGGCACTTTAGCCATTAAAATGCATGTGTCACCTGTACAACCAAATTCCATTTCTAGACTAAAATCTTCATATTTTTAGATTAATATTGAGCAATTCAAAGATCGATGAATATAATTGCTCATATTGGATGGTTCTCAAATAATATAGGTAGTACACTTAATAATCTCCAGATATAGCAAGTAAACCAGCTATAATTATAAAGAGCTAATAGAGTAGCTAAAATCTCTTGCTAGATGCAATACTACCAGCCGTGTTCTGCATTATTGGTAGCTTTTTATAGATGTGTGCTAACATCCAGCATGTGGTTAACTTGGCTGAGGAAATCAAATGTTACATTTTCTTCTCTTCAAAAATGAAATTCCATGCTGGAAGCTAGATGTTGTACTGATATAAGATCACACAGCAAGACTGAACACTTCATATTTCTAAAGACAATATCTAATAAGGAAAAACAAGAAGGAGAAAAGCTTGTGAGCATGAGGGCTGCAGAACTTTGATGGGAGCTATGCAGCACATTTGATCCAAAGAGTGTGCAGCGTACTCAAATTTTCTTTCACCTCGTGATTGGACATCACACCACCAGTATGACAGGAATCAAACCAATAATCTCTTCATGTATACACAGAAAGTATGAAATAAGGAAAGAGTGGTGACTTACAGAATAAATAAATACCTAATTCAATGTTGAATTTATCATGTTTTTCTTTTGACCTAAGTATTGAAGACATTTTTCATTATCAGACAGAATGGTGTATCCTCTCTTTAGATGATTTTGTATGTTTCACAACTATTATGGAGAAAGAAGATGATTAAGCATGATTAGAAACAGATGCACTAAATACATATTATACTAAACAACTACAATAAGCTTTCACTGTAGAAGTCATTGTGTTAATGTATATGAAAGCCTAAATCAATTAATGAAAGTTTTCTAGCTACACCATATCACCATTAATGCAAGGTTTCAATATTGATTATTGTTTCATAAAAATCATAGTTATGGGACTTTCTGTAACAGTTATTATTGTCATTCTGTTTGTACAAGCCAAATTTCTGACTTGGAACATTTATATAAATGGTTCCAAAGATAAAGATTATTTTTCAATAGTGGCTCTTGAAGTTAGAACGTAAGTGTGTATTAGCACATCATTGAGGAAACCTTTTCTCAAGAAATGTGCTTCTCTGAGCATGCACTTTTAACAAGCAAAGAAATCTAAGTGTGTCTATATCAAATCAAATGCTAACTCTTATCTGAACCTAGACCTGGGGTAAACTTTGTCCTGATTTCTTCAACAGCATGGACATGAAAGATCACTTCCATTTCTACTGGACATCTCACATTACTTACTAGCCCTTTAGAGGCGAGTTAAGGACAATTTTAGTGTCCTGCTTCTCTGAAGGAAACATGTGCCTGGGTAAGTAGATGGAGCAATGCCTTCTGCTGAGTTGCTGATGCTAAATCAGCATTTAAATCCGTTTAAAAATATTGGATACTTTTTTAAATCTCTGTCAGAATTTTAATTTTATGTTTCTCATTTAGTCAGTAGCAAGCAGAATTTTGACCTATGGAACACAGAGCAAATTCAGATTCATGCCACAAGGTTTATATACAAGTGCATGGTTTAGTGGTTGCACCAAGGTTGGACCAAGGTGTTCTCTGCTAATCTTTATTCAAGAATTCTGGACGTGACACTGTGTAAAACATTATACACTTACTCCACTTGTGTATAAAAGACCTGGGCTAATGTTTCAGCATTCCTGATGGGGCACAAAGAACAGCCAGGAAAAACAAAGAAAAGCCAAGTTTTGTATGGGATTCTCAGGGGAAAACATGCAAAACTTAGTTCTTCTCTAGTAACTGACCTGAGTACTGACAAATACCATTTGACAGCCAAAATTCAAACAAATTATTTTAAATTCTTTAAAACTAAGGTACAAGTTATTATACTACCCAGTAATTACTGTCTTAATCGTTGGACATGTGTCAAGCAACATTCACAGTAGCTAAACTTAGGTGTCTTCCTGCAGCTTTGGCCTCACTATAATATGCCTTTGCACTTAAAAAGCACATTGTGAACAAACTGCTGTCTTGACACTGTCCCTTCATGCTGGAGGGACAGGACAACCAGCTATAGCAGCTACTGTAAGAAGAGACTCTGTTCCTTAAAAGCAAATTATTTCTTTTCAATCTGCCTCTACCACTGCTTTTGCCCAGAGCTCATCAACTAGATAAACACAGCTTATGAAAAACAATCAGTAAAGAAATGGGGAGCTGTCAGAATGGATAAAGAATCTTAAGTGCAACATATAATGTTAGAATGTTTAAAAGCTATCCTGCTCTAGTCAGTGGCAAAATGTTTAGCTTGTGACAACCTTGCAAAATGTCCACGATAGCATGTAAACACAGTAGAGCTAGTTGTATCTGGCACACAACCATTCTAACTTGCTTCTGACAGCCAGATCACCAGAAGCTTATTTAGATTTAGGGGGTGGTGGTGATGAGTCTTTGCCAGTTGTAGAAATAGTAGCCTAACAACTTGTAATACATATAATTACTCTCCATATCCCCTGGTCAGCATATCTTCTGATATGTAAATTAGATGGAGCAAGCAGATGTATAACCTAGGAAGCATTCCAGATTCATCTTGATAAAAGTATGGTATTCATACTGGGCAGGGTTCCTTTGTCTGTAACAATGACACACCAAAAATACATGCAATGTAAAAATAAATCTATTGATCATTCCCAGGGGTACAGTCTACATGGAATATTTTTATTCCACCTGCCATATCTAACAAGCAGTATTATTTGTCAGCATCACGCTAAGGTAAATATGTGACAAAAACATAGGAAGAGATGATAGAACCTACAACTATCTCATAAAGAAATTTCCACAACTTGTGAATTTACCTAAAAATGAGAAACTAGGGAAAGATGAAAGTGGTAAAATTCATGCCTAAAGGAGCTACTTTTACGTGCATTTGAAAGATTTAGAGAGCTCTCTACCTACCTACCTACCTACCTACCTACCTACCTACCTACCTACCTACCTCCCTCCCTTGCAACTGTCTCCTGCACAAACACAGAATCATAGAATCTGAGAATGATTTGTGTTGGAAGGGACCTTAAAGATCATTCAGTTCCACACATCTCAATGTCCCAAGCTGTGACACTAGATAACACAGAGTGTTCTAAAGAAAATGATTTTTATTTCTTAGGGAAAGGAACAGCCATGGGACACTTAAACCACCTATTTCCTTCTTTTCAATCAATACTAAGGCTTATTGAGGCTTTCTGGTATTTTATCAAACTTCTAAAGTAGTGAAAGTTAACATACACGATCTATGTTACCATTTGTACTTACAATAGCATAGGCACAGATTTAGGGGTTTAGGTCTTTTTTTGTTTGGGGCCTTTCTGTTTTGTATTGGGTTTTTTTTGTCTCTCATGACAGTGCTTATGCTTGTGAAGCAAACTATTTTTCTGGACATATTTAGATTTAGGAACACTGCATATAGTAAATCCTATATTTTAGGAAACATGATTTGGCATATTGTCACATACAGGAAAAATCAAACCTTTTTCTTAAGATTAACTTGTTGACACAGCTAAGATATCTTTATAAGACACGATTTTCACTGTTTAATGATGCATTTGAAATAATGTAGCAAATCAAATCTGTACTCAATGTGACTGTTGAGTGCTGTTATTCTCTAGGTATATTATCAGAGCATTGTAAAGGAAGAGCATTTCTCTGCGAACTCATGGAAAAACAGTGGGGTTTTTTTTCTTGGCCAGATTCCCCAAAGAGAATTGAATTTCAAGGTATGACTTTTTCTTTGTTTATATATTTATTCTATCATATTAGAATGTATTGTTGTAATGGGGTTAAGGGTATTATAAATTTGAAATTATTTTTCAATACAGATATTTTGGATCAAACCTACTACTACATAAGCATTCCAAGAACTCATTGCTGGAATGTTTCTGGATGCACTCAGACTATCTTGTTTTAGTCTCAGCAAATTCAATGCATTTTATATTGTTTTAAATTACATGTCCAATGGTCATTGGGAAAAAAGATATTAAACGTGGATAGAGAAACCTGATTTTTTTTTTCTTAGTTTCTATTATGGCTTGCAGTGTTTGGTTAGAATGTTTCTAATGCAAGCATAAAACATGTCTGTATTTATTCACCTGATCCTTTCTACGGAATGTCCAAGTGAGCGGTGGGAACTGACACAGAAAATGACATTTTTTCTTACCAGGCCATCAGGTGGGTAATGGCATATTTTCCTTACCTTTCAAACTTATAAAATTCTCAGTTTTCTTAACTACTGGCAGGTCTGAGCTATTGCCTTCATTCTGTGCATCTTCAGACTAACTGGGAAAGATGACCTTGACCTTCTCTTTGAAATATTTCCAGAACTGCCTTGACTGAGATGTCAAATCAAGGAACCCTTCTGAGGAAAATTTTCAATTGAGTGAGCAAATTAAATAGTATGCAGTGCATATTTATAAGCTGGATGCGTTTCTATTGTTCCTATAAGCTTTACAAATGAAAATTTCATATTTTTATTTAATTATGTTTATAAAATCCAGGAGATGAAGTATGGACACTGTAAGAACAAACCATAACTTTAAGTGCTCTCAGTGCACAGGTGATGAAGTGGTATAAAATTCAGCAACTTCATCACAACCTAAAGAACAATGATCTAGAATACATAGGGAAATTTATCAAATAAAGAAATAACAAATAGGATCCAAAATGTGTAAATAATTTTGTAGTTTACCTTAAATTTTGAGGAAAGCACTTTCAGTTCAGTTTACTAATCTGACCTTCATATAAATATTTTTATAGTTCAAAAAATATTTTAATGTTTATTTTATGGGAAATTTTTCTGGTTTCTAAATTCTCAGCATTGCTTTCTCTTTGATCTGTTGGCTGCATCTCTATTTTTCCAATTTTTATCTAAATAAATTAAGGTTTTCTTGTGAACAGCATTTTAAATCCATGGGAACTGAGAGTTGCATGAGGTAAGTATTGCTATTTCTTCCCTTAAAACCTTGACAAGCCAAACAGGAATTAATGAAAACCTTCAATGCACAGAAGTTTAATCTCTAAAATTTCTGTTTTCTTATTTTCTGTTGTGATCTCAACATTAGTTGGCTGAACTACCGTGCTGATGATTGAAAAAAGTAATATCAAAAGAACTGCTTGCATTTTTTGAGATAGTCACCAGAGGGCATTTATGGACTAAGTCAAGATAAATTTCTGCATTCACTGTGGGAATGCTGAGAAGTGTTCTGAATGACACCATATTGCTATCAAAACTAAATCACTACTTTTATAAATGGAAAGCTTTGATTTAAAATGAGATCTTAATTACAAAGAGGAAATAAAGAGAGATGACCAACATCATTTTTGGCTTCTCTAAAATTATTTGACTGCTTTATAGATGTCAGATAGGATGAATATTCCACCACCATGGAAAAAAATGTAACAGGAAAAGGAAAAAAAGGTAGTAAACATTGTTTTCTTTCTTTCATCATTTTACAAATATGTAGTTGGAGGAAGAACACAGTTCTTTTTAAGACTACTACAATGGAATAAAAGTAGAGCATTGTTGTTTTTTATAAGAGATAGTTTAATCTTTTATGTTGGAAGACGTGCTAATTATAATTAAATAGCTGCCTTTCAGTGAATACAATAATAAATAGTCTAATAAAATGATGACAACTTTGAGGAAATAGTTAGGGATCAGATATTAAAAACTGTTGTGATATTCAAAATGTAGGATAGGTCCAGAATATAAATTTACTTAAATCATGATAAATTTATTATTAACCAATTTTTATTATCAGCTTCTCTGAATATGTAAAACTCTGTATTTCATGTATGGCTATATTTCATGATGAAATAATATCTTTAGAAGTACCTTCTTTATCAAGAATAATGTCTTTTTGCCCACTTCTCCCAAAACAGAGGTCTTGTCAGTATGAACTGTAGAAAATAGAACTGAAATCCTTAAGATACATGCATTAGACAGGAAACTATATAAAAAGTAAAGCTCAGCTTTGATAGGGTGACTAAATACAGTGGAAGCTCAAGTCTTATTTTTCAGTAGAGAAGGAATTTCAGTAAGAAAGAAAACACAGAGTGAAAGATATTTGCAAAATCAAGAGAAAAGTTTTAAAGATAAGTTCAAGAAAAAAATGTTCTCTTTTTGTGGATATGTGCACTCTCCTGAGTTGAAAGTCGGTAGGGTTCAGTGAACATTATTTTAGAAAACACCTGTTTTAAATTTCGTATTGTTGTTCTAGCTTTATCATCTAACTTTTATTCTAAAGAGATGACAGGCATTGGTAAAAATAAATTTGAGTCTGAAATCTTTTGGAGAGAATTGCCCTATATTTAGTAACAAACATATAATGCTTTTTTTGGTAACGTGGGTATATTGCATGCTCTTTCTTTACCACAATTATTTTTCTTTCCTTTGAGAAAGGCTATACATCGCTTATACATTGCTTATTTCAAAGCAGCATTTTCATACGTATTTGTAAGCTTTCAGATTGTAACTCAGAGCAAGTTCAAAATGTTTCCAGGCCTTCCATTTGCATGGTACAATCACATTAGAGTAGTCCATGCCATCTCACCATGTTTTCAGTCACCTTTCATCCCTTGAGAGTGAATACAGATATTCCTCCACAGGTTTTACATTGGCTAAAAAAATTTAAATAGTGTAAATCAGATATTTCCAAGACAAAAAGAAAAAAAAAACCAAAATAAATATATTGACTGTGTAATAGAAATGCAAAATAACCAAAATCATATACTTGAAATACTCTAATTAGAGCTGGAACCTTCATTTGTATGTCTCAGAGAAGTTTAGAGTTAACTCATTTAATGGCTCAAAGTTCAGGAGGATCCTCCTGTTGCAGCATTGCATGAAATATCTCCAAATAAAGGATTACTGCTGGCAATGCCTTGCTCTTCTGTCACCCTGAAGGTTCAGGTGTTTTCAATTGCGTTTTCAGTAGCAAAAGGGGAAGTGAGTGGCTACCTTGGTGGTTTATTTCAACTATAGACCAGATCCTCAGCAGTGCTGCATTTAAGCTAGAATAATGAATTACATGGTAAAATGATACCTGCTGTATTGCACAAAACAACCCAACTCACTGACTGCTACAATGACATTGCTGGCAGCAGAAAAGAGGCACAGTTTCTGAAGTGTCTTCTTGATGGCCTAGCATTTCAGGGGTAAAGATTTCATTTGAACTATATTCAGTTTACTCTTATTAAATATATCCTCCCAGAGGCTGAGTCTTTAATAATGCAACTATATCCAACAGATAAATAAATTAAAAGACAAAGTTGATGTTTCTTTGGCTACATAATGTTTCAGAGCTGTGAATTATATAGTAGTCTCTTACCTAGCTCACTGAAAGCAGTGTGACACCTTATGGAAATCTGCATTATACATGCTAGCTGCATTGGAGTTTAGCAACATTATAGATTTATCTACATCTGTATTCATGTGTTCATGTATGTACATATACATATATGCCCATGCATGGAAGCATTACCTTTCTATAAATATATGCTGACAATTGTCAATTTGCATTTTTTTCCTTCTTCATTGTATCTATCCAAGAGATATCCAAAGATTACAGACTTAAGAAATAGCTGGGAAAAATATTTTTTCAGAATTTTAGTAAAATTTCTGATTCTTTATGAATGACCTAATTTTTATAAAGTTATCATAGTCCTAGAATACTTGTGCCACAAGGAGCTAATCACACACTCCTAAAGGACCTTGAACACATGCAGCTTTCAGTATATCACTTCATGAACAAAATTCTGGTATCATTAATATCAGATGATAAATTTGGTGAACAATTAGTTTCTCTGTGATACAAAAAAGCTTTTAACCAGGCTACTGTGTTCAGAAAGAAAAGGCAGAGTCTGGAGTTTGCCATGCAAAAGAAATGTGACTACAATCAGGAAGAAGGGATTGAGAAGAGAGAATTTTACACTCTGGAAGAATGGGAGACATCTAATGATAATTATATGGAAGACAATGGAAAAAGAGAAGGTAGAGGAAAGAAAATAAAGAGTCAATGACCTCTAGGACTTGAGAAAACAAGGCTAGTGAGACAAGAGCAGTGCAGAATTTCTTCAAGCTGCTGCATTTCAACAAAGTAATCATCACACTCATTTTCACGTGGAAACGTAGCATGCTACGTGAACAATCTAAGGTTATTTTAACTAGTGATTAACCTAACTGGACAGACATAAGAGAAAAATGAATAAAAGTGATGTAGGATTACTAAAAGAGAGACAAGAATGACTTGGACTGAAAACAAATTGTAAAGCTAACAGATTACTGGTTTCTCCTGGGATCTGAGCAGGATCTGATGCTACTTAGCATTTTCATTATTAACACTGACAAGAAAAGAACAATTGTTTTGAAATTTTCTAATGAAACAACAGAGAGATTCACAAGCAAAATGTTCCACAGGACAGCATCAAGATACTAAGCAGTGAAACTAGAGAAATGTGAGGAAACATATATGATAAATCATTATCTAGAAAAATCAGAGGAAGAGAAGCACTTCTTAATATTTCATTGATTCATGTTCATTGCCAAGGGATAGATAAAAAAGCAAAGACAATCCTCCACTTCACCAACTTTGGATTAATCAAGTATTTCCAGAACAGCCATGTACCTGCTAATGCACAAGAAAATGGTGGCATCATTTTACTATTGTATATAGCTGTGGTCATCCATAGCCACTGGAGATAAGCTCATACTGGA